TAGAGGTCAGGTGGGTGTTTTGTCAATGACAAATACAAAACAAGGAACTAAAACCCATCCTAAGAACTTCTGTGAGTGATTTCTTACATTATACCTACAAAATCTCCCATACTTAAAGTTTTCAATGACGATACTACCCAAAACCCCCTAAGCTATAACTTGCCTCTTCGAGCTACTGGGCGGTCAGGGATCAATGCATGGATAGGGAGCAAAGAAACTGCTAGAGCGGGACCTTCACAAGCTCTAGTGTATCTGCCACAGCAGAGGAGTCTGGTCTCCAGTGTACAGGGTGTCAGCCAGTCTCATCCAAATACTGCCCAGTCCATGAAAGCCTGAATCACATCCCAACCCCTTTACAAAACTTTCCTACACCACTGTACCCAATCCTTGGAGAGAGACTTCTAGTTGCCTACCTCAATATCCATTCTCCCCTTCTTTCTTAGTAATAAACCTCCTGAATTTTAGCTGTGCACATGACTGCCTAGAAAAAAAGGCTCTATTTCCCCAACCTTTCTTAAAAGGGAGAAAATATGCCCTTCTTCTCCCCTTTCTTCTGGAATGACCATGCGATGGCTGGAGGCCTGGCGGCCATCTTGGACCGTGCAAATGAGGACCACATTCTAGCGATGATGAAGTAGAAAGCTGGACGGAGCCTGAGTCTCTGACAGCTTCAGGGAATACGTATCAGCTCTGATCAAGATCTCTTGTTCATGAGAAAATAAAACCTTGTGTCTTTAAGCCATTGTTGATATAGGTTTCCTGTCACATGCAGACACACTTAATCCTAACTGGTCCATACCGAGTGGAACCTTCACTGATCACCATCGTCGGGGGGCTCAGGGCACTTTCTCATGCTTGATCAGGAGTCAGCCTTACCTTCCCCTCCAGCCTGCTCCCTGAGGGCCCCTGACCTTCTCAGTTCTGCTTCAGGTCAGGTGCCTACTCTGGGTCAGGGGACATAGTAGACACTCAGTAAATATTTGCTGAGTGAGGAACTCTGACATGAAAGAAATGCCAGCTAGACGTCTATGCTTTCCATGGTGTTATCAATAACACGAGGGGAAAAGAAAACTTTCTCTTACCCTAGGAAACTTGGCAAATGTTTTGTTAACTTTAATTTATTCTCTGACACTCCCTTCTGGCACAATGGTCATTATTTGAATAACAGTTGAGTCTCCTCCATGGTCAGGAAATTTACGCTCAGTGACTAGCTAAAAGTGAAGAAAATTCATAGAATTCAAATGAGAGCATTCATGCAGATGGGCAAATATCTTTTTTTTTCTCGCGAATTTATTATAATCCATGGTGACTATAAGAAGCCATTTACACAGTGCGGCATCTCATTCAGTCTCGGGTACAGAGAATGTTCTCAACAAATATTTTTTGAGCTTATGATTTATTTTCCTTTTTTACTGCATTTATTTTTTCCCCTCACTTCTCTTTCCTAATTTTCCTACACATACAAAAATGCAGCTCTTCTCTTCAGACAAGCCTTGGTTCTCTAAGAGGCAGTGGCCAGTGTTTCAGTGAGACAGGCTCTTTCTCCCTTGTCTTGGTTCAGCACTTTCTGGATCTTCTGACCACAAAAGGGGACATGAGAGGGGGCACCTGGGTGGCTCAGTCAGTTAAGCATCTGCCTTCAGCTCAGGTCATGATCCCAGGTCCTAGGATTGAGCCCCAAGTTGGGCTCCCTCTTCTCCCTCTCACTCTGCTTCTCCCCCTGCTTGTGCTCACCCTCTCTCTCAAATAAATAAATAAAATCTATTTAAAAAGGGGGAGGGGGACATGAGAAAAAAGCCAGAAACCAACACACTAACCAGTACCACGGTGGCTGTCCTTTCTCTGGACCGAGCCTCTCCACACCTGTAACTTTCTTCCTTCTCTCTCTTCCACACCGTGTCTACTGAGAGGACACTGCCAGCCACACAGATCCTATTTGCAAATTAAAGATGATGTTGGGTAGGGGCACAAAACTCCTACGCATACATGCCTTAGACACATGAACCGCTCCATGTGCATGTTCTAAAAGGCACCCCTTCCTCTGGCAGATCCAGCCCAAGTCTGGAAGCCTGCTTGGCAAGAGAAACGAGATCTGAGATTCAGCCCCACTTGCCCCCTATCCAGGCGCCCAGCCATGGGAAACCCAGAACAACAGCAGCTGGGCCTGGCCCTCAAGCTCAATGTGCCACTTGTGAGTGGTAAAATCAATTTAGGAGGTCCAATCAACATTTTTTAAATTAAATAATAGGGTAATAAAATGGATCAGGTGCCTCTCATGTAGTAAAGTAACTATTACTCCATCACTCCCCATGTGTGTACCTCTGTCACAAGGCGGAATGTATTTCCTGCTGGGGGTCTAGTTGAACTAATTTCAACTCCAGATGTTGAAAACCCAGCCTGAAGCTGGCCCATGGTGCTCTTCTTTTTTTTTAAGATTTTATTTATTCATTTGAGAGAGAGAGAGAGAGAGCACAAGCAGGGGGAGGGGCAGAGGGAGAAGCAGATGCCTCGCTGAGCTGGGAGCTGGCCGTGGGGATCAATCCCAGGACCTGGAGATCATGACCTGAGCCAGAAGATAGACGCTTAACCATCTGAGCCACCCAGGCACCTCCCATGCTGTCTTTTGAGTGCAGTCCCAGAATCATGCCTGCCTATTCATCTCCTTATGAGTCTTTCACCGGGCCTTTCAGCTCACCAAGGAGACCCAGATTCAAAAGGCAAATTTCCTGAAAAGGGGAACCCCCTGACTTAAGTCTCACTTGGGTCTAAATGGCTGATTGCAGATGTTCCTGAGAGCAAGTTTCAATAAGGTGGGAAAAGACCATCGCCTCACTAAATGGAGAGGAAGGGAATGACAACATCCCCACTAAACTTCACCACTTCGTCCAGCTCTGGCATAACTTCTCACTGCCTCCCACCCTCTACGCCCCTCCCCAGCACCAAGCCAGTTGTACTCTGAAGTCATTTATGGTGTTGGACAGCAGGGGAGACTGAAACTTCGGACTCATAAGGCCTTCGGTCGACTTGTGGATGGAGCTTCCCACATGATTTCTGTCCCCCTAACACCACAAATGATTGAGAATTGGCTGCAAATTTAGCTGTCCATCAATGGAAAACATATGTCTAGGCAAGGCAGGAAAAAACAGGAGCCTCCGCTGACTATCGAAGACAGACATGGGATCCCTGCTGAGTGTGGCCAGAGGGGAGGGGGCGCTCAAGACTGTGGGCTGTTTTCTTAGACTTTACTCTTTGGGCATCAGTATACAGTTCCAGCTCTAACGATTTGTTCAAGGTAAGAAGATGCCTTCTGAAAAGGCCATAAATATTGCTCCCAAGAAACACTTCCCTGGCTCCCGTGAAACAGGAAGGCTTGATTACATCTCCTCTCACTATGTCCATCCAGAGCTGCAAGGACTTGAGAGCAAAGACCTTCAGCCTCTTCTTCCTGCTGCTCGAAGCCTACGAGTCCGGTTTAGAAGGAATACTTCCCGGTATTCTGCCCCTCAGGTACTTCTCTTCCTTATCTCACTTCCTCCCTATTTCTGAGAAAGGCAGGACTTGCAGAGACTGAGCCTGAAAATAGTTTTGCCTTTTTTGATGATGCCAAAGAAAGATGTCTCACCTTTCCTGATGCTACTTGGCTGACTGCTTGGGGGGGGGACTGTTACAGCTTATGGGGGTGCTAATTAGAATCAGTTAAAACCCAGCTGGCCTGCCCTGGCACTGAATTAACTTCCAGGACTTGCTCAGCCCTTATGAAAAGCAAAGAGGGATCCAGAGAAAAAGAGATTCTGCAGAGATTCTAACCAAGACTTAGCCAGCCAGCATCCCTCCGCTCAGGGAGTAAAATCGTTGCTGGATTTGTCAAAAGGATAAAATGCCTGATGTTGCTAAGGGCATTATAGTTTATAACAAAGTGATGGATCTGTCAATGAATTTAACTGGGATCATTTCACTATGTGTGTGTGTGTGTATGTATGTATATACATATATGTATATATGTATGTGTATATGTATCACATCATGTGCACTTTAAATATATACATTTTTGTCAATTACACCTCAATAAAGCTGGAAAAAATACATGTAAAAACCTATCCTCCATCAAAAAATAAGTAAAAAAGGTAAAGTATTCCTTTTTTAAAGGGCACACAGATGACGACTTGAGAGCCACACACACACACGTGACCTTCAGTGACCAGGATTTATCACATGCCTACTGCATGCCAGGAGCAGCGCAACTCCCCCCGGGCAGACAGCTACAATGTGAAAGTCATCTGGGTGCCAAATTACTCCCTCACCACCACACGCATGTCACTGTGGAAGCTCCTACTTTACACTCTAAGGCAACTTACATAAAATCAGTGCTTACTGAATGTTTAAAAAAATAAGAAATCAAGTTAGCAAATCCAAATCTATCAAACTGTACACTTTCAATACATGTCGTTTACTATATGTCAATGATGCCTCCCTAAATCTGGGTTTTTTAAAGTAAGTTCAGGTAGTCCATTCATAATTGTTTGAATGAACAATACTTATATTTTCCTAACTCAAGCACCCCCATTTAAAACACAGATCAAGTTTGCTCCCATAAAGCCCAAAGGATCTGAAGGGAAAGGAAACCATGTGTCCACACCGTGGGGCGGTAAAGCTGTAAACAGAAACCAGTGCATGCAAAGGTTACTAATAACCTAACACAGGATGTAACAGGTGCCAACTGAGTGACTCAGACAATAGATGTTCCAGGAGTGGGGACTGCTGGCTGATTTCGCTCCGGGGGACCAAGCCACTCCGTTGTCACAAATGCAGGCTATGCGCACCTCTCCCAGCCCCAAAGGCATCACCTGAGCGTGTCCGTTCACAGGGGACACAGCGATTGTGCCACCACGAAATAACCCTTGCTTCTGGTCTCCCTGGCCTCACCCCCAGGCCAAGGGAGAGAGAGCCAAAAGAACTAGATACATTTTGGAACACAGTAACAGACGAAATTGCTCCAGGAGTCAAACATGGCATTAATCACAGGTATAAACACTAAAACCAACACACTAAAACCAAAACCAGATTGGCCTCTATTTCGGTGGGTAAATTCCTACTTGGGCACTCTGAAAACTTTATGAGTCAGTTTATAGATAAATGTAATAGGACCAATTTCCAAAGAGCAATTTAAAACCCACCAGGCTAAAATTTAGGAGAACTACAGGGCCCCAGACACTCAATCATAATTAGTTCTTAACAGGAGACAAATGAAGAGAGTCTATAATAAATATAGGAAGAAAACACTATAGACTGTAATACCTAAGTTACTAAAGTGTTACAACTTCTAACCTCTTAACACAGTGTCTGGAACACAGTAGCTAGTCAATAAATGTCTGTTGAATGAAGAACACTATTTTGCATAGGAACTTTAAAGCGTCTTAAGACAACGCTCTGATTGTTTTATGTGGATTAGCCTGGTTTCCATTATAAGCACCTTAAGACAACCACATCTTCTTACTTATTTTCACAAGTCAAAGTATGTGAGGTGTCGGAAAGTCTCTGTAATATGTATGTTTCTTAAAAAGTTTTTCTTCTCTTCTGAAAATCACTCGACAGCAGGATGCCTTAGGTATGTGTGTATGTGCATATCTCAGAGTGACCGAGTTTTCGCCTAATGGCAAAAGTGGGCTGTGTTTATCAGCTTGTCTTTATCTTTTACTTTCCCAATTTGGCTCTCCATGTCCTGAGAATGTCAACAACCCAATTTTAATGTTCAACTCTGGGAATCATAAAACTATCAATCAAAGAAACAGCATCCCTACCATATATTAGCACATATTCGGGATATTAGGAGCATGGTCTTCTCCATCTCCCTTCTGGTGGGGGAGAGATACAGGCATACAGAGCCCATTCTATCAGCCTAAACATACCAGAATCTCCTAACCTGGAAGGAACAAATCATGCTGTTAGGCCTCCTAAGATTACTGGCACTCACCATTCAAACTCAACAAAGTTGGCAACCTCTAGAACTTTATAGCCCTAATACCGAACCACTCCCTTATGATTTGTCTAGTGACTTTTCTTGTTTCTAGAACAGCCAGCGTTGAGTCTGTCAATGCTAGCTTCAAACCTGTCCCCTCACCCTCCATCCCAACACCCTCCTGTTAATCTTTAATTCTTTCTGTCTCTCAATAGTTATTACAATCTCTCTCAAAATCCTCTATTACACAAAGAGATGCTAAATCTCTTCCTCAATCTAACAGCTTGGAATAAAAGTGTGGGAAATAGGCAGAGCCTAGATTTGGAAAATAGACTTCTCCCATCCTTCACTCTAGGAGGACTTCACCTTTGTGTTGCATAGTCCTCTGGGTAGACCTGGAAGAGCTGAGTCGAGCCAGCCCTCTGTCCTAGCTGGCAGGAACCCAGACGCAGGAAGGTCACCAGTGCCCACAGAAGTCAATTGACAAACCTACAGCAGGGCCCCATGTTCACCAGCTCTTGGCAGTCCCCAGCCCCTCACACCCCTTCTTCATGTAAGTATCCCACATGAGCCCCAACCCTCCCCATCTTTCAACCCATCGCTCACAGTCCGCTTCTCCCAGCAGGACTTTCCAACTATCACAGCCTGTACACCCCTGAGCCTGACCTTCTTAGATCTGCAGTGCTTCCTGCCTGCATCACGTACTTGGCACTTCTTACAGACAGACTGAGATTTTCATATATGTAGACTTCATTTTCCCAATCGAATTGCAAACTCAGAGGGCAGAATTTTCCCTAGCAAAACCACCTTTTGCACAATAGACTCGCTGTAAAAATATGTGAGTCCATGTGGAATAAGGATGAAGTAGGAGCTTCTGCCTCCGCCAGTCTGGGTCTTAGAAGAAAAAGTCTCAATCCCAGTAGAAATGCCTGATTAGGCTTCCAATACCACGTTTTTCTTTTGCACCTAACATGTGGACCTGTAGTTTACTGCTACAGCAAGAGATCGTCTGTGGAATCCAGGGGCAGACTATATTGTGGCCACACTGTCATTTGTTGGTTGCATATTTATGAAACATTATCCTTTCAGGATGAAATTTTCCATGACTGGTTTCTGATCCAAAATAAGGGTGTTTCTCTCTCTCTCTCTCTCTCTCATTCTTTTTTTTTTCTTTTGGAAAATCTGAACAATATCCAGTCAGCCATGTAGAAGTTGGGCATTAGTGAAAAAAACAATGACATGTTTTGTCTTTCAAAATCAATGTAAGCTTCTTTTGTGTGACCAATTAAAAAACAACTAAACTTCAAAATGAGAAACTTTCCACTTGTTTAGGCCTCATCAAGGATGAACCTTGTTGATAATGAGATAGCGCAATAAGAATAGAAGAGAAACAATTGAAATATGTATCTCTTCATTTTACTTGCATTACATTTCACAAATGCCTACACATGCAGTCTGCTTCCCATGACTTCTGAAATTTAAAAAACACGTTGTATTTGTGACATCTCAGCATCTACTGAGGCTGAGCTTCAGCTTCGAGAAACGAAAAAAAGTTTCCAGATAATCCAGGATAAATTTCTGGACAGCAAATAATTTAGTTATTTTGAAAGAAGAGTTCCCGCCAAAGTTTCCTTACTACAGATTTGTTTGCATTCTAACTTCTCACTGATAAAATTTCCTCACCTAATACTTGTTTTAACACTTGGATTTACTCAAGTGCAACTCTCTGCCCTTACAATCAGAAAGAAGTTTAGAAATGACTAGTCACCCTCACTAGCACATGCATTTTTTATTTGGCAATAACTATTGCAAAACATTTGCAATCTACAGAATATAACAACACGGTAGACATTTTAAAATCTGATCCCTCACACATGTCACCAAAACTGTACAACACGCTACTAACAAACACCAAAATAAATTTAAAAATCTTACCTTTGGTTTCTTTTATTTTTTAATTTAAAAGAAAAATATCTTAAGAACATTTTGCATCACATTATTCAAAAGAACTATATTATATATTCTGAACCCATTTGAACATAGGTGGAATATTAAAATTTTTTTAAAAGCCCAAATTTCAATATGAAGTATTCACATACACATGCAATCCAAGAAAACCAAAAAGAAATAGGTGAGGGAGCCAAGTGGGTAGAAATTCCCTTGATATAATAAAGGCACAGAGCTTTCCCCCAGATCAGTGCATGAACCACCAGTTTGGTTGATTAGGTCCTCAAAGATTTCTCAGACTCATAAAAGGAGGTTGATATTTACATTGTAGGGGCAGAGAAAAAGGCAGGAAAAGTTACCAATATGCTCATCTCAGTTCCTACTACCTCTTCAGAGTTTCTATCACTTAATTCACCTTTTAATTATCCGCATCGCTCCCCAGTTTACACAGCCCTTTTTATTCTGAAACGAAATTCCCCAAAGCAGAAATAAAGCAGCTGTCAAAGACCCCAACACCCAGAAAGACACCCGCTCCTCTGAACTGCCCATCTCAGTAAATAGCTCCCAGAGCCACCCCACTGCTCAAGCCAGAAGCCTAGGTTTCATCCTAGATCCTGGCCATCCTCACTCCCCACATTCAGTCCACTGTCAGCCCCACCTTCTTCTATAATCAGCCCTGCCAACTTCCCTCTTCGGGCCACCAGCATCTCTAAGTGGTTCACTACAACGGGTCCCTAATTTTTTAATCTCTCTCTGATCCATTCTCCAGGAAGATAAAACTCAAATCTGATCAGGCTATATCTCAGCTTGACAATTTTTTACTGGCTCCCCTGTTACCCTCAGAATAGAGCCCAGACTCACAAACTGCAGTGCACTTAAAGCGGCCTCTCATGATTCCAGGATTAAATTTTAAGAAAGGAAAGGAGGGAAGGAGGGAGGGAGGGAGGGAGGGAGGAGGAGGGAAGAAGGAAAGGAAGGAAGGAAGGAAGGAAGGAAGGAAGGAAGGAAGGAAGGAAGGAAGGGAGGGAGTGATGGAGGAAGAAAGTCAACTGACAAAATAAATCTCACTTTTCCCCATGTTTCCAAGTCACCCCCACCCACCATCCCACTTCACAATGCAACCACACTAAACTATTTTCAGGTTCCCATTTCAGGTCTCTGCTTAACTGCCACTTCTCAAAAGCCTCCCCCAACCCCACCCGTCTAGTTCAGCACCCCTCTCAAGTGCCCCCATGGCATACATCACAGCAATTTTCATACTGTATAATAATTGCCTCTTTGCTTATCTGTCCCCCAATTTGAGTGTAAGCCCTCTGAGGTTGGGGTCCATATCTATCCTGTTCCTAGTTATATCCCGAGGGCCTTGCTTGATGCCTGGCACGTGGCAGGGGCTCCCTAGTGATTTGTTGAATGACTGCATCAGTGATCTAGAAAACAGGGAGAAAATAGGAAAGGATGGAGATGCCTGATACCTCCCCTCCTTGGACGAGCAGCAATGACTGACCACAGAAGGAGGGGAGCATGCTGCCTTGACTCACCCCTCCTCAGAACCTGAGCTGAGCTCCTCACAACCCTCTGCATCACTACCACCTTCCATCCCAGTGGAACGATGTGTGTGTCCTGCAAAGAGTGCACAAGGCCATGGTATTTGCACCCACTGGTGCCACTTCCTGGCTCTGGCGTGTGGGTCAGAGCTGATTTCAAGCAGGCCGTCCTCCTCTCTGTCCACACTCCAGTCTTGAACTTCATTTTCCTCTTGATGTGAAAATACAGTCCTCACTGACGTCATTCTGAACTGCCTGTGTTAATAGAGGAAAAGGCCCTGTATCATTTAAGACATTATTAAAATGTCTTAAATGGTTTTGTTGTAATTGTTCTGGTTTTTAAAAATCTCTTTCACGGCAACTGTTCAATCACTACAGTGTTTGCCTTGTGAGGCACACGATGATCAAAACACAAGCTGCTGGGACAACCCGCACATGTGAGCTAGGACATGTCCATAGGGCTGCGCCTCCAGCACAGAAGCAGGGGCAGGAGGGGCATCCTGAGATGGGAAATGATTCTGGTAATGATCTCCTCGAGTGAAGCCATCTTGAAGTTCCCGAGGCCCTGGAAGAACTCCCCGCTTTAGTAGTAACTTCTCAAAGAAAAGTAACAACAACTGGCCTCCATCAAC